CAGAGAAGGGCAACGGAGCTGGGGCAGGGTCTGGAGCACAGGTCTGCTGGGGAGCGGCTGGGGGAACTGGGGGGGTTCAGTCTGGAGAAGAGGAGGCTGAGGGGAGACCTCCTGGCCCTCGGCAACTCCCTGCCAGGAGGGGCAGAGAGGGGGGATGAGTCTCTGGAGCCAAGGCCCCAGCGCCAGGCCCGGAGGGAACGGCCTCAAGCTGCCCAGGGCAGGGTCAGGCTGGCTCTGAGGAAGGATTTCTGTGCAGAAGGGGCTGTTGGGCGTTGGAATGGGCTGCCCAGGGCAGGGGGGAGTCCCCGGGATCCCTGGGGGGGTTGAAGAGTCGGGCTGAGCCAGCGCTGAGGGGTCTGGGGGAGCTGGGGGGGGTCAGGGGGAGGGTCATGGTTGGGCTGGAGGAGCTTCAGGGGCTTTTCCAAACAAGAGTTTTCTGTGATTGATGCAACAGCAGAATTCACAAGGAGGTATTTTCTCTGTGCCTTGGTTCAGCCTGCCGTGCTAACAGTTACAGCGGTGCTGGGAGATCTGCCAGGGACAGCTGGCAGGGACAGGGACAGGGACAGCTGTGTGGCAGTCAGAGAGCAGAGCGGAGTAAGAAAGTGAAGCAGGAAGAAATACTGGCAGGGACTCAAGTAGGCTGGTGGGTGAGGAGAGAATTGAACAGAGGGGGCTTTGGAGAAGAGGGTTTAAACTAAGGTGGATGGGCAGAGTTCAGACAATTGATGGGGAATCTTGGATTAGCTCCCAGTAGGAGTGGAAAGCCGGGATGTACGGGAAGGGGCAGGGAACAGTGATAGCAACAGAAACTCTTACAAAGCGTTGTTCGAGTGACTGAGAGGTTTCTTGCTTGTAAGACTCCTGTGGGTTAGGCCTGGTTTCTCCCGTTGTGGTGAGGCATCAGCTGTCTTTTTCTACCTGCCAAGCCACAGGAATGCGGCGCTCAGATCACAGCTAACCCTTGCAGGAGGTTAAACCCTTCGCGGGAACAAAAGCACAAACGCCAACGTGGTGGTTGCTATTTGTTCCGTTTATTAACTGCGCAGTTGCTTTACATACGCCTTTCCGTACATCGCGAGACCTTCCGAGCGCCTCTCCCTACACTCCCCCTGCCTTCAAACTTACGAGCTCAGTGACTTGTGTTAAATACTCAAATTCCATGTTTCTCTCATATTCTTCCACTTTTATATTACTGTCCCCTAATGAGGGGAGACTAGAAAAATCTGAGATTAGGCTTCGTAATGCAGCCGTAGGGTTTCGCTGTGCCTGGCCCTACACGCAGAGGGTGCAGAGCTTACAGAAAATCCACCTCTGACTTCTTACCTGTTGCTGTCCTAGGTGAAAAATAAGAAGCTGGTTGAGCTGCTGAGGAGGAAAGTTCGTCTTGCCCAGCCTTATGCTGGTGTTTTTCTTAAAAAGGATGATAAGTAAGTAGTTTCTCTTGATCTTTTTAAAAATTTTAAAATGAGCTATATCTATGACCGGGCTGCATTTACACTGAAAGCTGTAATCTGAAATTACCTGCCTTGGGTAGTATTATAGAAATTATGTATAGGCTTGGACCATCATCTCACTGTGACAGTTTTCACTGCCGCCACAGCACTGCTAGGAGCTGGAGCCTCTCTTTATCAAAGGCTGTTATTTGGGTATTTGGGAGGGAGACGAACCATGCAGGTGACTGGGTGATTTGGAAAGGGGCTGCGTGGTGGTAACAGTGGGGATAAAGTGAAGTGTCTTTGCTCCTGAGTCCAGTTTAAAGTTTTGCAACTGTGATTGCTTCTTTCTTTTTTAATCGTACCTTCTTTCTCAAGATTCTGAATATCTACTTCAATTTTTTTTTTTCCTCAATAGCAACGAGTCCGATGTGGTGGAGGATCTGAATGAGATCTACCAGATGGGAACTTTTGTACAGATTCATGAAATGCAGGACCTCGGAGACAAGCTGCGTATGATAGTCATGGGACACCGACGGTAATTACTTGTACTTCCACGGCATCTCACCAGACTTCTGCATAAACAGATTTATCCCTTTGTGGTTTTCACCACGCATATGCATCCTTACACACAAATTGTGTACAGCAAGCTTTTCCTTTGTTACCACAGCGTATCCTGACAGTGCTCTGGTGCTCCAGATATTCTGTGTACTACTACAGACGTGACAGCTTAGCTGCAAAAAGGAAGAGCCAGTGCATGTCGTGCTCATGTCAGTTGGAGCGTGATGCAAGCAAACATTCATTAAGCTGAAGTTTAGCAGTTTGTCTGACAAGTAGAGCAAGGTTTAGTAATGGTGAAAAGAAAATCTCTCAAAACTAATTCAAGCTGGTATTTTTGCTTTTAAAAAAACCAAAACACGTACCATCAATCACCTTTGTCAAAGCTTGACATTTTAGTTTACTCAGGATGTGACTTAGTCTCTTTCCTTTTCGCACCGAAGAGCTGAACATATAACAGGGGAATTGATTGTAGATGGTTTCTTTTGGCTTTCAGGATTCGTATAAACAAGCAACTGGAAGTTGAGCCTGAGGAGCCTGAGAACAAGCAGAAGATTAGAAGGAAACAGAAGCGCTCTAAGAAAGAGACTGAAGAGGAGCCTGGTGCGAAGGACCAAGCTGTCGAAGTGGTACTAGATCCTGTAGCTGCTTCCTCCCAGGAAGTTCTCATGGTAGAAGTAGAGAACGTGGTTCATGAAGATTTTCAGATCACAGAAGAGGTTAAAGTGAGTGAATTAATTGTACAAGCCTGGACTTGTCCTGTAGATTTGCACCTATATTTCTGGCTTTAAAGGAAGAGTTCTAAAATGGGGCTGTAATTTCAGGCTTCAGAAACCCGCTTCTCCTCCTCACAGTCACTGCATGAGGAGATTATATGAAAATAATGATTTTTTTCATTACAACAGCTCAATTCCTTAGAACTGGTCACTTCAAAAAGTTGCTGAAGGAGGAGGTTGGGCTGTGCTTCAATCTCTATCCTCTGTCAAACTGAGTCTTTGCTCCAAAGTGACTTGAGTGGTCACCCTGATCATTCGTACTTATGGCCAAGACCCAGTTGAGTTTGCCGTGCAGGGAGCCAGCCTGTAGCCCTTCTTGCCCGTCCTGGCCTCCTGGGAGGAGTAACGCCCCCCCGCCAGGTACCACGGCAGCACACTGCTGCATTTCTGTGCCGGAGAGGTTGGGGAATGCCACGTTTGTACTGAGGCCTTGTCTGTTCTTTCCCAGTCTTTTTGTTGATTACATTTTTGTTGTGTTTATAGGCACTTACTGCGGAAATTGTCAAAACAATTCGGGACATCATTGCCTTGAACCCTCTGTACAGGTAAGCGTTTCCCATGCTGCCCTGCTTTGGGAACAGGATGCTCTCAGGCTGGAGTACACAGATCTTTCTGTTCCGCTTGTCCTTTCCCTGTCGTGAAGAAGAGATACTTGCTGAATCGTCACCTAGAATTTTGGTTTGGGATGTAAGCTTTGTTGGGAGCAGAGGGGAAGTTTTGGAAACCTGGTGTGAAACTTGGATACAGAGTAGGACGATAAGTCCCATGGCAGGTGATCTGGGTCTAAGTGCAGCTCACTGCAGTAAGCATCACAGTCTGACGTACGTAATACGGGCATAAGAGAGTCTCGGGGTACTGGCACACAGAAGTTTTGCCTAACTGTTCAGAGAGCATTTTATATATTTGTTTTATTTATCAGCGATCATTCCTTTTATCCAGTGATTTATGTGTTTGTTACTGAGTATTGGCTTAGGCAAATTCAGGAAAATTGCTTTGCTCTGAAACTGAACTGTGTTTCATTTTTTTGCTCTATCATAAGTAAATAACTCTATAAGGATACTCCCTTACGAATGTAAAAGTTTACAGAGCATTTTGGGGTTTATTACCGTTTTTTTTCAGAGAGTCCGTACTTCAGATGATGCAGGCTGGCCAACGTGTGGTAGATAACCCCATCTATCTGAGTGACATGGGTGCAGCACTGACAGGGGCAGAGTCGCAAGAACTTCAAGACATCTTGGAAGAAACCAGTGTAAGATGAAGCTTTTAACTAAAGCTGTGCTAACTGAGTCAAAAATACATCTGTTGTACGTCACGGTTTCTTTACCAGCCTCAGTACAGAGGGGACGAGTGCTGTGTTTGATGATGGATTATTATCAGTGACTAGGTTCCTGCTGAAGGATGTATTAAGTCATTAATAACTTGCCTTAAGGGAAAGGCTGGATGCTCTGCATTTCTGGTGGCAAGTAATTTCTTCCACACATCGGTTGCGTGCTGTGGAATTGCTACACAGTTCATCTTTCCACATCTGCAGGTGCTGAAGAGTTCTCCCAGACAACCTCTTGGAGCTTTTTAGTCTCCCTTGGGAGTTGACAAGAGTATTGTGTCTGAAAACTCATTTTGTTTTCTCTACTTTTCTAGATTCCCAAGCGACTTTACAAAGCCCTTTCTCTTCTAAAGAAGGAATATGAGCTGAGCAAACTTCAG